ATTTTTCGTAACGTTTTTGACTTAACAGAATTTTTTTTATCATTTTTGAAACTATTAAAATATGCCAGAAGCATCTGGTGCCTGAAAGATCACAGATTATGGCAGATGTTGCATTAGTTAATAAACTGATATAAGATGCATCGGCGTATTTAAGGTGCGCGAACACCACGGATCTGTGATTTGATTAAACAGTCCCCTATACACATAGAAGCAATTAGACACGACCCATCATTATCAGCCACGGTCGATCAGCTGCTGAATGAAGGCCTTTCTAAGACAACATCATATACTTAGGCGCGGTGACGTGGCGCGTAAGAAATCGGCTTCAAACTCTAATTCCAGAGGTGCTGAGTTAGATTCCCACGAGTCCTTTGAGCAAAGAATTTACCACACGCTGCTTCAGGCTGGGATTACCTGGTCGGTAGAGGGTCTGACTCAAGACCGAAAGCCCTAGATCCAAAAGTCCTGGATTCGAGCCCTAATCAAAGCCTTTCATCCTTACGAGGTTGATAAATGAGCGAGAAGAAAACAGGAGGATACAGTCTATGCCTCTTACATAGCCATTTCTCTTCTTTCGTTTTAAAAAAGCACTCTTAGCTGCCGAAATGGAAAATTAGCTCCCCAAGACTAACTTCAGTGCTAAAATTGGTCCCATCATATAAGAGTAAGAAAGAACGACATTCAGACCGTTACAACATTTATTTTCCATTCACTCCAGTACTAAGCGCGGCTTATAGCAGAGCGAAATCCGGCTTGGTGGATATATTAGCATTACAAATATAAAGAAGGCCATAATGTCCCTCCTCGCCATAATCTTACTAATTTCAAATACAAATAAAAATCTACCCGTTATTTAATGTAGTGTTAGTAATGACTTATCATAAAGGGCCCAAACCCGTTTATTTACGGTTTATAATTTGCAGTGCTCTTTGATAAGCTTACAGGTAAGTCAAAACGAGATGCAGCTGTAAAACTTGCGCATCAAAAATGTAACAATGTGTCCTGCAACCCCGGGTACGATTACATGAAAACACCATGCCGTCAATATGATTCCCAAGATCAACGGCCTGTCCCTCGTTGCTGTAATAGCTGCATCGAGGCACAAATGAAATTCTTTCAGGAGGAAACTAGGAGCTGTTTTTTTAATAAAAAAAGCTATGCTGCGCTCTGGGTTTACCTCTCACGAAAAACAGTATTTTAAATTAATAACCGACTGCGGGACTACTGCTCCCTCAACCTCAATGTAATGTTTTGAGGATTAAGTCAGATATCTTTCAAGTTACAAAGAAGACTATCTGACACACACGTACACCATTCGGTTGCTAATAATTCACAGAAGTACTTACCCGTGGGGTCATCCCATTCGAGGTAGCGCTTCATAAACTGTTCGAGCCTCTCTGGCGATTGTGCACCCATCGGTTTGCTGAAGTCACGGAATGTCTCTGGCGACGTGTAGTCGAGTTCCTTAAAGAGCATGTCACATGATTAGGAAACCACGGAGAAGATCCTGTGACGGTCAGCCATCAACAGCACCTCTGATTCGTAGTCGGCCAACACCCATGGAAATACCGGGTACTGTGACAGATCGTTGTACGAACGGCCGGCCAGCGTGTTCAAATACATCAGGTACTGGAAGTTGGAGATGTCACCTCGTACCCACCGCTGTGTAACGCTACTCTCGCCCATGAGAGCACTGAAGAAGCCGGCACCATGTTCGACGTCGACGCCGCTTTTCTGTCCGGATACGCTCTGGTTAGCCGAATCAGCCAATCGTTTAGCTGATGACAAAAACTTTGAGTAGACGCTGTTGCGCATCTTCTTCGGAAAGGCCAATAGGTAGTTGCGACCATCAGCTGAAAACACTTCGATGGCGATCGGCTGTAGCAGGTAACGCCTCTTCTGGCACTCGCGTATGTCTTCGTAAGCAAATTTGCTGCATAGCTTTTTGCGTCCTCTCGTCCTGGTCATTCCGTTTGCGATGTACGGTACAATAGGGCAGTGCAACCTATATATACATATATAGTTAATATATACTGTCTCCAAATCATGTGATATCATCTGTTCGTCATGGTAATAGCCAATGTTAAACGTAAGAGTACCAACGGTTGGATAATTTGATACCGACTCGTGGTGTGGCATGTGGCGAGAAATCAACCTCATAAAATGCTGATAAATACCATCTGCGAAGCAGGCCCTGTCATACAAAATAACAATGTACTTGACTGACAGTGGATAGTGCTAAACACTGAAAGGGCAAATTTTGGCTACAGATGATTAAACTGATAAGCCAGTCAATCCCGCCCCGCAAAAGAGAACGTTCAGATTCAAGAACTGAAAAACATAAAAGCCCTACGACGCCGCTGAGCTGACGGAAATCAACAAATAGTCGACAGTACGAAGATTTACTGTTCAGGGCATGGCAATATGTATCCTTGATCAACAGTATGCGAGTGAGTACTGCATCGCTTAACACCCTCACACGCCTTCGAACTTCCTCTTCTACCTCAGGGAGACAGAGTAGCAGGCGTACACATTCAATGACAGCCATTATATCGCCGTCAACGCTAAAAATCGTCGTTCTTCGACACAAAGGTTCAATTGTCATTCAGGCATTACTAATTTTTCAGTGATAGTTAAATGGTTGATGGCAGCTGTATTCAGTAAAAATACAATTTCCCAATAAACTGAACAGAACGACTGACAGCTCTGGGGAAAATACTTTCTAGAGAAAGCGCAGTGACATTTTTCGTTACAGCATCTACTCTTCATATTATGTAGAATATACTGTGTAACACATGTGCAACTTACGATTAGCATTACATTGAATAGTCTTTAAAGCAGATATAACTCACTCCTCGGGCAGGAAATCCAGGTCGCGGATTTCACGAGTCTTCAATAGCGTAAAGCCATCTATCACATAATAATGGTCCCTGCCGAACAACAGCAATCCTTCGGTGGTGTCTAAACCGTTGACACGGGCGCAACGGAACATCGAGTTCAGCTCCTCGCCCTCTTCGAGCAGTCTGAGAAGAGTCTGATTATCAGGACCTTTCGTTGAAAACACTTCCGGAGACGCTCTGGAGATGGACGAAATCGGTGAGTCGGC